GCAATTTGTTGTTGTTATTCTCTTTATCCTCTCCAACAATATTTGTAGAAGATTCATTATCATGATTTTTTTTGTTGACCAGAATTGGAGATGGCAATCATCATTTGATCAGTGCATCATAGCGCAGCACCATAATAATGTCTGGAAACTTTATACTCTACTGAGTATATATTTCACCCCTCTGCTTTGGAAAAAACAATGCCCCTACAGAGGCAGGAATCACTTAAGGTGGTCAGCCCACTGGAAGAAATTCCCCTCTCTTTTCGAATAGTGTCATGGGTTTTTAACATCTGCCTGAACAGGCAGAAGAGGTCTCAATTTAGTGTACTATCCAAAGGACAGAATCTCCACCAATGCAGCACAACCCCAGCACCATACTGGAATGTCATCTTAAATTATATAAGTTCAAAGTTCTTTTGTGGGGTTTGAATCCACCACTTTCTGACTCAGAGGCTAGAGTGGTAACAATTGAGGCAGGCTGACACACAAAGCTGTGATGTTGTGAGAGAAATGGGGAGAGAGTGGAAAGGAGGAATGAGAACATCAGTCTCATTAGTCGTTGCCTGTAATCCTTATACTGGCTGGCTGTAGAGCAGCAGTGAAGGGAGTCTACAGATGATCCACTTGACTGGAAAGGGTGTTGGGAAATGGGAAGCTACAAAGGGGAAAAAACAAACAATAAGAAAGTAACTCAGGGGAAAAACATGTATCTGAATAAGGGCAAACCATTGAATGGGTGGCTCCTTCATGTATATCCATGTTCTACATCTGTTCAGATCATCTTTAACGACAACATCAACAGCAAATTTTCAACAAAATCCACGTTCACTGTGTAGTTGCAGTTTATCTATTCAGAAGTAAAAAATTACAAGATGCAAGTATTGATTATTTCAAATAATAGTAAGTGACAGGTTTTTTAAATATAGCAGTATATGCCAGGAAGTTCCAGTATGACATTTAATATGATATTAATAGGATTTAGAGGAAAAACTGTAGGAATGAATCTAGACCATTCAGTCCAGCCAGACTCCTCATTATAACCCACTTGACCACTTTTCCTACCAAAAAACATCAATGATTGATTCAGTTTCCTTCTGAGTGCTTTAAATTAGTCAGTATTTATTAATCAAGATGAAAATCTATTCTTCAAGTTGATGAATAAATATAATGAAGCCATTTCCTTCAACTAAAAGTAGCATGTGGCTTTGCAGCCCACAATCATTTCCTCTTATTCTCCTATCATGAGTTTGGAAAAGAAAACTGTCTCTCTATATCCACCGAATTGATGCTGGTCATTATTTTAAGAGATAGAGATCATGTTGCCCTCTTAATCTGATTTCCAATGACAATAAATCAGGTTTGCTCAGTCTTTCTTCACACAGGTCTAATTGATGATATTCACAACATAGATTCATTGCTTTATTTGCAACTTTTGGTTTGCGAATATGGGAAGCCGTTCAATTGACCTAAGTTTGAAATGCCGCTTATTACAAATTTTGAAAGCTGAAAATTTTGCTGTATTTCTGGATTCGCAATTTGCCATTTTGCAAACCTCACAAATCAAATGGCTTCTAATAATCACAAAGAATGATAGTCACATTTAACAACAACTTGCATTATGCAGTGTGCTTCACGTGAGGTAGAGTTCGAATACAGCAAATGAACACAACAATCTTAGTTTATCTATATCACCAAATAGACCCCACAGTTTAATCTTCCAAAACTGCCAATCATTTATGCTGCTCTTTTATGAAACCCACTCCACTGCCTCTGTTCAGTGGGAACATCAAGTAACCATATAATCCGCCAAATAAAGTCTGGCTATGATGCTGGCAAAAAGGTGTGCCCCAAGTTACCAGGTTTACAATTTATCTAAAAGGAACATGAACCAGCAGCATGAAGTGGAGAGATCAATTCTAATAAGTACTTTACACAGCCAGAGATCCACACTCACCTATACAGTACACAGATATGGTTTTGGATAAGCAGAGAGAGACAGAGAGAAACTCACAGAGACTTTAGAGAGGCAAAGAGAGAATAAGAGAGAGAGACACACACTCACACACATTGACACACACACGATATAAGCACGGTTTTCATAGCCACAATAGGAAAAGCCAACTCATGCTGGTCCCAAATAAAGCCCAAATATCAGGCTTTCTATAATAATATAATTATTATTAATAACATAATATAGTATATTTACAGTTACACAGACCACAACTACACACAGTACCTGACATATGATATTACTGATGCTTTGTAGTGTGTTAGCAACACTTAGTGTGTCTATATACCCAACATTTTGATCTTCATAATTGGTGGCATGAATTGTGCTAACATTTATAAATTTCAGTGACCCCACCGCACCTAAATCTTTTTCCTGCCTGGCTTAATGAACGACTTGCCTTCATCAAGTTCCATGGTAAATATTGTGAACAGCAATGATCTCAGGGCTGATCCCTTGAGTGCTCCACTGGGCCCCATTGTCCCATTAGGAACACTGTCATTGATCAATGGCCTTTTGACTCCTATTATTTAACCTTTTTTTATTTGAATTTACTACTTCCTTTCCTTCCCAAGAGATTATATCCCACTTGAGCAGAAAAGTCTTGGGAGAAACCTTGATTGAATAATTTCTGAAAATAGATTTTTAATGCTACACATACTGTCATTCTCCCAACATAGGCAAGTTTGGTACATTCCTAAATGTCAGAAAATGCCTTGGGTGTATACAGTGGGGGGACAATTTCAATATTTGCAAGAGATCTAAGATATCTGAGAATTGTCAGATTTGTAAATGCGCTAATTATGGGTCTTTCTTATTCCAAATTATCAGGAATCATAATTAACTCTTGCCACTCCATTCCCACCACACATAGCTTTGGCATGTACAAATGAAAGCTTAAACTATGAATTCAAAGTCCTGACGTGGGGTTTGAACAAGTTTGTGACCTAGAAGAGAGAGTGCTACCCAGTAAGCCAGACTGAGGGAGAAAGACAATCCTGAACCTATATCATCAGGGTGGGACTTTGATCTCCTCGCCTTGGCTGATACAATACTGGGGAGCACTGAATTGTCAGAAGAATTGTCTTTTGGTTGGTCCTATTTGCCTGTTCAGATGGTTGTTAAAGATATCATTGTACTACTCAAAAAGAGAAGGGAGTTTCTCCTAGTGCCTTGGCCAACAATCCCCCAGATAATAAATTGCTCATTCACTTCATGTTTGTTGTTGGGGCATTGCTATGTGTAAATTGGTTGCATGTGTTTTGCGCAAAACAATACACAGTCACTACACTTTACAGAAAAACTCTATCAAGCTGTTTGAGATGTTTTAATGTGATAAGGCACTAGATCAAAAGCAAGGATTCATTATTGTATTATTATCTGAAAATAGTGATTTGGGTTTTCTTTATACTTCCTATTTAGAATCTTATATCTTTTATTCAGTCCCTTCTAGGATGTCTCTTTTCAAGGCTAAAGTTTATTCGTAGCTCATTCCTCTATCATAATGACCTGGAGCTAGGTGTCATAAGCACAGTGGTTAAATTTGTGGATGACACAAAGCTAATGAAGGTGGTAGACTGCAAAGATGAACAGGATAGGTTGCAGGAGGACTTGAACATTTTTGGGGAATTGGGCAGATTGATGGCAGATGAAATTTAATGTAGAGAAAGGAGCGATTAGAAAAAACTGGGCATGTTCACACTGGAGAAGAGAAGATTGAGGGACGATATGATTACGGTCTTTAAGATTCTGAAAGGACTAGATAATGTAGGCCATGATAAGCTGTTTTATCTTGTACTGAACAGTAGAACCAGAGGACATGGCCTACGATTGAAGGGGTGTAAATACAGAACTAATCTGCAGAAACGCTACTTCAGTGAGGGAGTAGTAAATTTATGGAACAGGTTCCCTAGGAAGACAGTGGAAGCAGAAAATGTAATTTATTTCAAGAACAAATTAGATAGATTTCTGCTAGAAAATAACATCTCGGAATACAGTATATAGTTTGGGACATGACCTATCACGCAACTGCCAGGATGGTGCAAGGTGAACTAGATTGACCTTGGTCTTCTTTCGCCTAGCGAATTCTTATGTTCTTATATCACTGGGGATTATCCTTGATGCTCTTCTCTACATTGGATCTAGGGCCTGGCGACCCTTTTAAAACAGAGTAACCAGAACTGTATGCAGTTTTGCAGGTGTGCCCTACAAGAGCATTGTACTGCTTGAGAATGGCTTATAACGTTCTAAACTCAACAGATTTAGCAATACAGGCCAGCATTTTATTTGCATTTACTGTTGCTTCAAATCTGTTTTAACATGGTGATCAATGAGTCAATCAATACCCTTAGATTTCTTTCAGTTTTTACCTGGCAAGTTCTAACCCATACATGGAATATATGTGCTTTTTATTTGCATTTCCTATAGCATACCTAGAATTTATTTGTATTGAATATCATTTGCTCACTTTGAAAGATCTTTGCTGCCTTCTCTAATTTCATAGTTCATCCAATTTGGTGTCACCTGCAATTGTTATTTCACTGAATCTCTTAATTCTAAATATGTACAAGGAGAAGGGTGGGTCCCAGTGCAGTCTTCTGAGGCACCCCACTTAATATTTCCACCCCCTACCCCACAATTTTGACCTAACTTCCCTATGTTTCCTTCCCTTAACCAGTTTTCAATCCATGTCCATTTACTCTTGAATTAAGGAAGGGATCAAGATTGACTGTGATGCCCTCATGGCCTGCAACCTCACAGAAGAAATTCCCTTGTGAAGAATTGTCACTTGCTAAGTAAACAAGGGATCGCTGAACTCTTCCAAACACGAGCTACTACCTTCAGACAGAGGAGAAAACTGGAAAAAATCATTATGAAGACACAATAAGACACAATACGTGGCATTTCTACATCTTAATTACAGTCCCAAAAGGTATAGGAAAGAACAGCTTAACGTGAAATGAAGGAAGATTAAATCAGCAATTTAGTTTACCTGTTTTCGCGTAAAATAAGAGGTTGTCTTGCAGTGCCAATGTGGTATTCTGATTGGCTGGTGGTGACAAGATTTATAAAATACTGTAAGCTTCTTGACAACCGAAAGGAAATGTTTGTCACTGGGTGCTACACTAAGGTTGCAAAGAACGGTGGATCACAGTCTTCATTGTTTTTATAATATTGTAAATAAGACATGTTCAACATCTTAAACACCATCAGTTGTGAAATACCCACACATAAAAATACCTGTTAGCATTAAGAATCCCCAATGACCTCATTTACATAAAGCAAATCATTTTGATTTCCATATCAACTAATATAATTGTTTGTTACCAGGAGGATGGTAAGAAAGGCTTGCTTGGCTCTCCCTCAAATATCTCTCCTTTCCTTAAGATACCTCTTCAGCTCTCCTTGTCTACCTGCCGCAAATATTTAGATTATGGTGCTACTGTCCTCATCATTACTGCAAAGCCAAATGCCTTCTGCAAATTAGAAGGCAACTAGGAGGTGCCTATTTTGGTTCAGAATTTGGCTCAGAAACATTTTCTCACCCACTCTAAAATGGACCTCAGGTTCAGGGTACCATTTAATGACCTGGACAAGAAGAAATAAAATCAGCCACGGATTGAGCTGGAATGGCAGGCTGCTATTTAAACTAGAATTCTTCAATTGTTTTCAAAACCCGACCTTAGGCACTGTAAAACAAATAAATTCCCCTAGTTTTACATTTATTTCTCGTCCTTGCTTTTCAATCCCCCAAAGCCATTTGTGCTATTCCCTCCAGCCTCAAACATTTTTCACGGCCCTTATGAAGTGAAGACAAGTAGGATGAGGTCCTCCCTCATTCCCCCTCCCCTTCTCTTCCCTCCCTTTTGGAAAGCATGTAGTCTCACATTGGTTTCCTACATTTTAAAGCACTGTTGCGTCTCAGAACTTTCTGTTTGAGAATGACCCCTCCACACAGAGAGTATCTGAACACCACTGCCCAAAGCCATAATACCGCCCATCCCAGGTGAAATCTTTTCAAAAGAAGACTTGAACTTGATCTCTTTGCTATGATACTCACAGCTTCTGATTTTGGAGGTACTGGGGGCGGGCTTGGCACTCTGGACTCTCCCATTTGTAATATGGACAAGTGTGATGAATTAACGGGGCCCTCATGTGAGGAAGCCGAAGAATGACATTGGAAAGGCCTGGAGCTCTGCTGAGCTTTATTCTCACTTTCTGCCAGCATGCCACAGGCATCCTTTGACCTATCTGGTATTTGATTACTCCACAGCTCCTCATAGGGAATCTCAGGTGGCTCCTGAGTCCTAAATTCACTTTCCGCCCAATCAGGCGTCACATACTCTCTGTCCACATCCACCATCTCTGACGGTGTCAATAATTCATGGGGCATAAGGTGGTGCTCCCCAAGAGAATCCCTGCAGCTCTGAATGTTGATCTCCCCGTTGCCATGTAACATAGCGCCAGTGAACGCACATAAGGAGAGTCTTTGAAACGATTGGGTTAGTTCATCCCGGGCATAGTTCAATGAATTGGATGTATATCCCTGCAGGCAAACCCTGATTCTCCTTGGACTGGTGCAGTCATCAGTAAAATCAGTCTTCACCTCCCGGACTGCTTTTGAGTACTCATCAGTGTTGAAGTTCTCCTGGGCAAACAGCGTGATTTCCTGTACTAACTTCTCAAAATGAGGATCGCCCCGTATTAATCCTTCGGGCAGCACGAACCTGGGCATATCTGAGAGCAGCAAAAAGTGCAACGGAATAATGTCGTCCCTTCGGACGATACAACACAAGACTACAGTCTTCGATATAATACTGACGAGCTTGTAGCGATGTCCTTCACGGATGCAGTGGAGGTCATATGAATTTCGGGGCGGCCGAGACGGAACCGTCACATTAACCGGCAGCCGTACTTTTTCTATAATACTGCGGATAGTGTGCTCACCCTCCTGCATTTGGATCTCAAGGGGGCTGCGAGTGCTGAACTTTCCTCGGCACTGGAAAGGAAGGCTAAGGCTCTCATTGGTCCTGTGGTTCATGCAGATGAGACATGGCATCTTGCCTTTGACCTGCTTGCTCAAAGTGCCGGTCTTGCCCAGTTTTCGCAATATGGTATTAAAGCGGGATTTTTCTTTCACAGTCTTGGCACAGAGAATCTCCGCCTGACCCATCAGCGTCAGCTCATCCCCAGTGCGTAGTGTGAAGTTATAAACCTCACTGTCCTCACAGAACTCACCGGAGACCACCTGAAAGTAAAGGGACAAATTTAAGGGAAATAAAATCTTACAGTGATGCAGCGCCTTATCATGTCAAAATGTCTCAAAGCACTTCACAGCGTTTTCTGTAATGACTGAATAATTTGTGGGCAAATGTGGCAGCCAATTTGTACACAGCAATGTCCCGTAAACTGCCATGAAGTGAATAATCAATTTTTTTTGGAGGATTGTTGGCCTGGGAAAAACTCCCTTTTCTTTTTAAATAATGCAACTGGATCTTTAATGTCCACGTAAACAGGCAGATGGGATCTCAGTTTAAAGTCTCATCCGAAGGACGGCACCTCCGATGCAACACACCTCCAGCACTGCATTGGAGTGTCAACTTATGTGATTCCTCATGTGGGACTTGAACCCCCAACCTCTGACTCAAAAGTGAGAATGCTACCACTGAGCCAGGCTGATACATAAATGCTAGCGTGATGTTAGATGCTAATAACGGGATTTTCACATTATCAACACTCAGTGTCAAATGCCACATTTCTGACATCTTTGTTACACAAGCAAAGGGTATCCCGATAGACATCAGTTAGATTTCTACAAATATTAAAAAATGCACTTCACATTTCAATGGTTTATTAGCATTCAATCCTTATAGTGTGGAACTGAACCATGAAAGGTGGCAGTTTTGTATCAAGTTAGCTTCAGTCAGTGTGTTCAATAGAAGAGCTACAACAGAAAAAATGTTGATGTACAGGTGGCATATATATGGCAAACTCTCAGTCTGGTTTGGATACCCTTAAGCACAGTGATGGGTTTTTGCATGTATCAGACATGTCAGACAACTGACTGACCCCCACCCTCACCAAAATAATAGCCTGAGCCAGGAATCCCTCTCTTAATTGCAGTGCCCTAGAAGGCTACTGAGCTATCAGGTGTGTTTAAAAGGGAGATAGATGGATACTTGAGAAGTAATTTAGCATTAGGGTATGAAGAGGTATGACGATGAGGTAGACAAAAGGGATAAAAAATCCTATTAAATATTAAACTGTTGGAACAGGCTTAACAGCTTGTTTGACTCCTCTTGCTCCCATGTTGCTATCCATTAACCCTTGCAGGTTTCTGTGTGTGTATGTTTGTGTTTGTGTGTGGGTGGGGGGTGAGGGGGGTATTGGTTGGAATAAAGCCCTTCAATCAATGGCAACAACCACAAATTGAAAAGAAGAGACTCTATTTTAGTGTATTTGTACAATACAACTTAATTTTAGTGGCTTAGCAAAATGACATTGTGCCAATACAATAAAATACAATATTGATGTACTCGGACATTGAGACAATTTTCTCCAACTCTAACTTATCCTTTCCTAGGATCTCCGGACTATACCACAGTAGTCCTTACCTCCTACAATTTGCAGGGTTTCCAACCTTTTAGATACCTAACTACTTCTTCACTTATTTTGTTTTATTTTCCCACATTATTTACACAGGAACATAAAGATAATAGCAGGGAAATAGCATAGGACCAGAAAGATAATAGCAATCCATTGGACCTGTCGCAAATTTATATTTACTTAAAATATATAATCCTACACTACTCTCATCTTTCATGTTGTTTCAATTCAATCATTCACCAAGTAGCTAGCAAAGGTGATCTACCCTTTACAAACCGTGTTGATTAATTCCTAATTTTTTCTTAAATTTGCTGACACCATTTCTGTATTAATGTATATTTTTGCATCTTTCTTAGTTTTAACTAGACAACTGAAACATTTCATAAAGCATTCACCTCACAATCTTTGGGATAATAACTAATTGCAATACTACAGCCTCCACAGTTTGTCAGTAGCTTTGTGGTATTAAACCTCCACTCATTTGTGAGATAACCCATGTCTACGCTGTCTGGAAATTACAATATCTGTCAATGGTTTCTTCTGTACAAACACAGGATATGGCAGCTCTCTGAATACAAATATTTGTAAAATACAGGAGGAAACATGTAGGAATCTGAATGGCTTCCTGCCAAATCACTACTTACGCTCATTAAATCAAAGCTGACTGATCTGGGCAAACTGAAAGGACGCCTACTGCTCTATATACCCGATCATAGAAACACACACGCACACAGTGTGGTCCTATTCTTCAAACATTTACACTTCCTTTCAGGAGACTGTAACAAAGGATCATACACAGGATCTGGAATATTAATTTGAGGAGGCCATAGCAATTTACCATCGCAGTGTTTTATTGCAGGATAGAAATGAAAGGTTCCTGTATTGTACTGAAGGGATGTCCTCAAAAATGGTAACACTAAGCACATCGGTCCAAGACAACAATTTGCATAGAAGTATTCAATAGTAGGGACACCAATTATGATTCTTCCAAATATTTCCTCATCTTTCATAACAAAAACGGGAAAAACTAAAGACTCCAGTTTTTGGCTGTGAGGAAAAGAGGTCAACTATCAAGTCTACCCAGCACAGTTATGAATAATTCCTGCCATTCTCATGCCAAATGGTGGAAATCATTCTGTCTACTATTAAGAAAACGTCAGCCAATACAAATTATCAGACAGAATCTAGCCCTCGGCAAACACATCTTCAAAAATATTAAGGGACATAGGGAGACAAAGTGTCATTATTTTAAACAAAGTTGATTTAGAAAATAGATTACAATGTCAAATACAGTGTTAGTGTTTCTATTTTTCACACCACTGAGTACTGACCTAATTTTCCATTTGGAAGATTAAAAACATGAGATTGCAGGACCGCTCGTTTGTTCAGTATCACATTAAAGATCCCATGACCCGATACAAATGAGACAGGGGTTCTGGCCATCAATCCTCAAGATGACATGGGAATTCTCATGACTGCTTGTTGGACCTTGCTTGCACAAATTGACTGTGCATTGGTCCACAAACATCAGTCACTACATTTGACAGTAATTAACTTGTGAAACAATTTGAGATGTTTTGATGTGATAAGGCATCATAGTCTATCATAGATAGTCCAATGTAATACTTTGAAATCACTGTTAGAGGTGCTGTCCTTCGGGTTAAGATGTTCAACCCAGGCCCATCTACATATTGAGGTGGACGTTAATGATCCTGTGATACAGTTTGAAAAGAGAAGAGAGTTTTTCTCTGGCCAACAATTCTCTGGATAAAATCATCATTCACTTCATGGCTGTTTGTAGCACATTGCTGAGCTCAATATGGCTGCAGTGTTCACCTCCTAATGCTCAGTCTATGAAGAGTTTTGGTGTTTCGATTTTATAGATGCTATATTAATTGGAAGGAATATTGTTCTAACAATTGGACATCAATAGTGCACTTTAAAGAATGATAAAAGGTTATCAGCGCTGTAAGTTATAAAAACCATTGGTTTCATTTTCTGGTGTAATTGCAAGTCTTTATCTTCTGCTCCTTTCCACGATGCTTGCCTGTAGAAGGCAAGGTGATTGTACCAGTTAATTCACCAAGAGCAGGCATTGTGGCATTTATGTCTCCATAGTACTTCCTGCTGTTTCTTTAAGCATAGGCGCTTTCTTGAAGCGCTCCAGGACGTTACCCTGTATGAAGAGCGCTATATAAATGCAAGTTGTTGTTGTAAGCATACTACCTCATACTTTAGTTTTTGCAGCTACTTTGAGAGATTGTTTACAAGTGACGGAACTTTTCTGAATGGAGAATCGTTATCTTAATACATACGAAACATTACAACATCTTGAGATACATCAGAAGACATGAAACAGGTCTATGACTAGGCATATTTAATGGTGGTAGGGGCCACTATGAATCCGTTTTAATTGCAATACATGTTTAGTGCATCGAAAATGAAACGGTTCCATTACTGAGCTTATTTTAATCTGTCTGTCCATAAAAATAGGTTTTATCAGTGATTTTTTNACTTACATACATAATATTAATCCTTGCATTTGATAGAGTGCCTTTCACCTCAAGAGGACATTTCTAAGTGCATCACAAGATTTTCTGTAAAATTAAGTGGGCGATAGATAATTAATGTCTATAATTAACTCACGGGTAAATGCGATTTTGCGAAAAGGTTTAAAGTACATTTAGCACTCCCAAAAACATATTTGGGTGTGATTTCTTAATTAAGGACCAATCCCCTCTTGCATTTGATACAGCACCTATAATACCAAGAATGTCTCAAAGCAATTGACAAAGTTTTTCTAAAGTGTTAATTTATAAGCGAATGTGGTAGCCAAATAAAATTGAATGCCCAATTTTATTTAGAGGGTTGTTAGCCAGGACACCAGGAGTAAAGTAACTCCCTTCTCTTTTTAGTGCCATGGGACCTTTAACAAACATGTTAACCGGCAAACAAGACCTTGGTTTCATACAACAGTTCTCAATGCTTTCTCCCCTCACATTCACAAGCACAAGTAAAAATAAAATGTATAAAATTAAAAATAAATCCCACTATTTTCATAACTGACCTTCACACTGAATGTTATTGCCTCCATAACGAAGACACGATCTGGAAAAACATTGGCCACCTCTTCAACACTGTTAAAATATTGCACTGGCTCCCTCACATCCCGGTCCTGATCCAGCAATTTAAACTTCCCTAGAAAAAAAACACAAAGACTGAATGACAATATGAAAGAAAAGTGATTTTGATGAAAACATTTGTGGATTCTGGGCAATAACAATGGTTGGAGAATAAAAGCAATAGTCATAGCACAGCAGATCAGAGACTTGAAATTTAGCCTTAAGACCATTGTCCCCAATTTGTGCAGAGATTTGGAAAATTCAGCCTTAATTTTGAAGCTGGTTTTCTTCTTACAAACAAAATGTGGAAGACCGTCTTTCAAATTCCAACTGAATTTAAGAATTTTCCAAATTTCTGCACTATTTTTTAATGAAAATGTTCTAAAGGCTAAAACGATGAGGCGGTTTATGTCTCAGGGATGAATAATAAATAAATAACTCAATGGTAATGAATGTGCTGCTTGTGGAAAGTAAATCACTCCGAGATCTGATGCACTAAGAGATTCTATTCAGAAACAACATGTTCAATGGATGCAGATGAAATTATATCTCTTTCTTCCAACACTCAAAGAAACAACACAAATCACACATAAAAAACACATATAAAACACTGGTTGATTTAAAATGCTTTTTACAATAGCAAAATCTCCATAAAGTCAGCCTCAGTTACAGTGATATGAGAAGTCTTTTAGAGATTGCAATCATGCAACGCAATCAATCACATTTATCCCACGTGGTGTCTTAGTTTCTGGATCAATTTTCACTAAAGAGTTCTGAATTGTGAGGTTATTCTCCAGTCACTGGTAAATTTATCCATCATGCCGATGTCCACTTCTAATGGGAATTATGATTAATGATCCATTATAAACAGCATATTGACAAAGTTAGTAAGTTTACCAACAAGCAATCCAGCGGAGTCTCCTGGCCTCCACTACCCTTTCTGGGAATTATGTTCCGACTGTTGATTACCCTCTTAGGAGGCCTGTGAGATGCTCACTATTAATGCAGCAGCCTGGTGGAAAACACTATCTTGTCATCTATCTCATTCATGTTGGGATATGTACTGTATATTAATGCAACTCTCAAATTGGCACATTACTAGACATACCTGTTATAAGCACAAGGAAAACTTTGATTCTACAAGTGAGAATGGATTGATAATTCCTTTAAAAGTGTCAATGCAGGCATCTGTAACAGTATGCAAGTTTAATTGTGCATGAAGTTGAATTGATGATTATATTTATGCCATGAGTGTTTGGTTAACTTCACATCAATATGTTCCCTTTCTGGACACAAAAAAGTATAGATATCTGTCTGATAGTTGATTTTGCTGTTAATAGTGCATTGAGCTTTCAAGCAACTTTCATCAAGATCGTGCTGATAGTTCATGTCGCTGAATTGCTTCTTCGTTCAAACCCCTTGAGATAATATGCTGACAACAAATTACTATTCCATACTGCCTCCACTATAAGAATATGTACAATTTCGGAGGGGGGAGGAGAAATAAGCCAGACACAAGTAAGACATTAGTTGTTGTATTTGAATAAATACGTAAATATTGTTGCATTTGATTTTCGTACAAATGACCAGATATTATTGACTACTCTCTGGCTTGGGAGCTGGTGTCGAAGATCCCTCAACACTATTTGAAAAAAGAATTTCTCCAATAATCCTCCTATAACTTGTTCATTTCAATAAAATTCACTCACTCCATGGCTGCTTATGGGACATTGTGGTGTGCAAATTGCCTGCCTCGTTCACCCACAAAATGTACAGTTGCATCACTTTACAGTATACTATGTGAAATGCTTTAAGACATCTTGATGACATGATAAAGTGCTACAACAAGTGCAAGGGTTATTATGTGTTATCTTGACTCTGTCGTAACACTCTCATCTCTGAGGCAGAAAGTTGTCAAGCACATTATCATGTTGGAACCAGCTCAGCTCCAAGGAGACTCCACTTAACTCCTCCTCTTTGCATACCCCACTCCCACCCCTAGACGATAGTCACTATTTGGTCAAGATACTTAGAACCATAAAATATTACAGCACAGAAGAAGCCATTCGGCCCATTGTGTCTGTATCGGCTCTTTGGAAGAGCTACCCAATCAGTCCCACTCCCCCACTCTTTCCCCATATCCTTGCAATTTTTTTCCTTTTCAAGTACCTATCCAATTCCCTTTTGAAAGTTGTTATTGAATCTGTTTCCACCATCCTTTCATGTAGTGTATTCCAGACTGTAACAACTCGCTGTGTAAAAATGTTTTCTCCTCATCTCCCCTCTGGTTCTTTTGTCAATTATTTTAAATCTATGTGCCCTGGTTACTGACCCATCTGCCAGTGCAAACAGTTGCCCTCCCCAGAGAGTGGAACTTGGAGTAGTTGAGGAGAATAACATAGATGTATTTAAGGGGAAGCTAGATAAGTACATGAGGGAGAAAGGAATGTAAGCTTATGCTGATAGGCTTAGTTGAGGAAGGGCAGGAGGAGGCTCATGTGGAGGATAAACGCTGGCATAGACCAGTTTGGCCAAATGGCTTGTTTCTGTCTGTATATTCTCTGTAATTTTATGTAATTCTATGCAATTCCACCTTCTGCCCCTCTGCTTCCACCCTCTGGAACTTCATCCTACAGTCCCTCTGCCTCGACCCCTCCCTGGCCTCCTTCAAGACCTGTCTGAAGACCCTCCTCTTCGACCGTGCCTTCGGTCACCTTCCTTCCCCCCCTGCTCTCCACCCCCAGCTCGAGTCCGAAACACTGACTATCCAGCACCTTGGGACATTCTCCCGACGTGAAAGGCGTTATACAAATGTAATTTTGTTGTGGTTGTTGTTGTTGTAGTAATTCTATCTACTCTATCAAAAACCCCTCCTAATTTTGAACACCTCCATTAAATCTCCTCTTAACCTTCTCTGCTCTAAGGAGAACAATCACAGCTTCTCGACATAACTAAAGTCCCTCATCCCTGGTATCATTCTGGTAAATCTCCTCTCCACCCTCTCCAAGGCCTTGATATCCTTCCTAAAGTGTGTCTTGAAAATAGATGTGGATAAAGTCTGCAGTAAGAATATATCTTCAGGGGAAATATTAACCAATAATAGCTGGGAGATAGCGAGGGTGATGGGTTTGGAGTCTTCAGTGGAGAGTAGATACCTTGATCTACTACATTAAAGTTAACACTAAAAGGATTGATTTGTGAGGAACTTTAAGGAGCTGACTGGTTTTGGTCAAATTTTGTCAGCCCAAATTCCTGAACTTCTAAATAGAAATCACAAATCCTCTCATTCAGCAGTGGAACAGGAGAAATAACGCGACAGCTCTCTCAAAATCAATCAAATGTCATTGCTCTCCATCTGGTCATGTCACAGGACTTTTTTTTATTTAAATGCTGAAGCTCAGGAAGGAAACATTTTATAGACAGCAACACTTTTTTAAAAAAAGTTTGATTCAGGATATTAATCAATGATAAATTGACAGTGATTACACTAGAAAATTACAGTGAGTATCTCTACTATTCCATCTACAGACATCTTACTGTTCCCATATGGCTGCTTAGGTCCATTAATACAACTAGCTAATTGTCCGATCAATCATATTCCAGGAAATAACAAGAGCTTAGTCTGGGCTACAGGAAAATCTTTACGATGAAGAAGAATGTATCTGGAAGAAGCCTGTTAACTTTGTCTGCTAATTGATGAGAGCTGCAAAAGTCCTCAATAGAAAAGTAACAACAGTCAGACAGATATGGGTGGTGGAAGAACGTAGAGCATATATAATATACAGGACAACTGCAAAATCGACACCTTCCAGAACTGAAAAGCAGGCCACAATTAAATTACAGATTGATTGCGGCAGTTTGCTATCTTATTGGTGAAAATAAATTATAATTATAATTAATAATAATTATAAACCTAATAGATGCACATTTATCTTCACGGTATATTCTGTAAAGTGCTTTGAGACGTCTCACCGACATGATAATAATAATAATCCTTGCATTTGATATAGCAACTTATCGCATCTTCAAGACTTCTCAAAGCGCTTCATAGAGCGTACAGTAAAGTGTAGTGATTGTGTATTTTGTGGGCGAAACTCTATATTTGATAAGGGCTATATCAAATGCAAGGATTATTATTATTATCTATATTGAATTTCATTTTCAGCATACTTGCTTACACTCCTAATCCAAACTGTATTATAACAGTAATAATAGTCTTTGCATTTGAATAGCACCTTTCATGTCAGAACACGTCAAAGTGCTTCACAAGATATGCATGCGGTGGTTTTGTGAGCAAATGCAGCAGCCAATTTTTAGTACAGTAAAACTCACATAAATCATATAATTCGGGACCGTAACACTTAATATGACTTACGTGAAGTCCAAGTTGCAGGCAAATTGTATAAATCATTTAAAATCCAATTTAATCAATAATCCACACTGCGCATGTGGAATTCAATGCAACTGGTATGTGTACATGCGGTAGTTCGTCACTGCAGTTGGTAAGTATGCATGCGGTGATGGGTCAAGACTATGTTTCCCACCATTTAATATGTCTTGACCCATTGCGCACTAACCGGCAAGCGTTGGAATCACATTGAATTGCGGGAAATTAAGTCCTTCTGTGCAAGCCGCGATTCAATGCAGCCAGCCTACCAGTGCGTAAGTGGAGGATTGGGGAGCGGTGATACAAGTTAGGAGATGATACATACAACTGGTGCAAAAAAATCTAAGTGCTTTTGATATGAAACTGAATGGGACTCGGGTAGACGTACAACTTAAGCAATTATACGATTCATAAATGTTACTGTATAACCATTGCATGAAGGTGTCACGTCTGTAGTCACTCTTTTCTCTCCTCCCACTCCCTCCATGAGCCCTTCCAATCGAGTTTCCGTGCTGCCCACAGCATGGAAACTGCTCTGGTCAAGGTCACAAATGATATCCTGACCATGTGTGACCAGGGCTCCCTCTGCCTCCACGTCTTCCTAGACCTCTCCGCCGCCTTTGATACTCTGGGCCACTCAATCCTCCTCCCACCTTCAAGGTTCTGTCCGACTGGTTCAGGTCCTACCT